TAAGCCCTCTTTCTGTAAATAAGCTTCAATAAAGTCACGATCTCGATTTATCAGCCCTTCTAGTGGTGCTAGTGCGATAAATAAAGGAATAAGTGGTTGCTTCATGTTTTGTTGGTCATATTCTTTCCATAGACTACGAGCAAGGTGACGGTTAAACGTCGATTTACCCGTTCCTCCGTTACCTAATATCAACAATACTCTTTTACGCTTCTGGGTTAGGAGGTGATTTACTGCTGTCTCCAAAACTTTTTTAGCTTTGAAATTTAAAAGTCTAGTAGCAGTTGCTTCAAAATCTTTTTTATCTTTTGAAGCTTCTTTCAAAGTTATCACATCGTCTTTAGTTATTTGATTTATTAAGTCTAATTTATTTTTCAACGACAGTTTATTTTCCAAAACCAGTGGGCTTTCCAAAAATTTATGGATTGTATTCTTTAATACTCTCTCATTTTTTGATGATTCTAAAAATTCATTTATCGCCATCTCCAGAAGCTTCAAGGCCTTCTGATCCTTTAAGGCTAAAAATTGATTAATCGCTACCTTCAAAAAATTTATATCCTCCAAAGTTAATTGATTCTCTAGTGCAAAAAAACTATTAACTTTTTCAATTAATGGCTTCCTTTCCTTTGAACTCAAAAACTTATTGGCTGCTTTCTCCAAAATTTCTACATCATTTGAAATGAGTTTATCCCTTGAGGTCAAAAAACCCATAACTACTTGTTCAATATCACCTTCCTTTACTTCGTAACCCATTTCCTCTTTACCATCTAATGGCTTGATAATTGGCACGCTCCATGTCCCTCGCGGCTTGACATATAAGTCTAGTGCTTCTTTAAATTCACAAGTTTCATTCAAGTCTTCTAGATATCGATTTTTCAATTCATCCAATCCACCTAATTCGCTTAACAGTTCTCCTCGACTTTGTTTCAAGACAAGCTGTTGCGCCTCCTTCAAATGCTTTATATTGTGTTCATTCTCCCATATTATTACCTGATTGCGACCATACTCCTTTGCCTTCTTTGAAGCTTCATCAGCATGAACTAACAAGTCATTATAAGTTTCTACCGATGAATTCATTCCAGAAACTCCAATGCTAAGTGTAACTGGTAATTTTTTTTCTTTATAAGTAAATGAGTGGGCTTCAACAGAAGTTCGAATTTTCTCAGCAATTTCAGAGGCCGACTTTAAATCAGCATTCTTGAGAAGAATTGTAAACTCATCTCCGCCATATCGTGCAAAAATGTCTTCAGCACGAGCATGAGCATTTTGAATCAGCTTAGCTAATTCTTTTAAAGCGTAGTCACCAGCTTCATGGTTATTTCCATCATTGATACTTTTGAAATTATCCAAATCAAAAAATAGCAAACTCAAATTCTGCTCATTTTCTCTTGCGTTCAAGAATTCATTTTCCAAGCTTTTCTCCAAATAAGCCCTGTTATAAATCGGTAGAAGTTTATCAATGCGGTTCTCATATTCTCCAGCAGGAAGGTATTGAAAAATACTGCATCCCATTTTAATCCTGTCATCTCTTTTTAAAGTACGGGAATCGTGAAATAAAAGTTTTTCACCATTAATAGAAATTCCTGATCCTGAATCTAAGTTGGTGATGGTAACTTTTCCTTGGAAACTTTTAATACTTGCATGTTTTTTAGCAATTTCATGATCTTTTATAATGATGTGATTTGAATTCTTCCTTCCTATAAATGTTTCATCTAGACGAAGGAAAAAGTATTGATTCTGAGGTGAACCCTTAATCACCATTAAGCAAGGTTCTTTTTTTGATACGGAAGTATCATTTCTCCCTAAACAAATTTTTGGAATATAATCATAATCTCGATATAAACAATCTAGCTCAATATCTTTGAGGAGATTAATGACCTCTTCAATTGATGGACGCTTTTTGGGATCATTATTCCATGCATCACAATAAAGCTCTTTGTAGTCTACAGGTGTTAAATTGACGGGAGTTTCCCTCGTCCCATTTAAGAAATCTGATTGTAGGTGTTCAATATTCTTTTCTGATCTATTATTAAAAGGGATTTGGCCACTTGATATTTCCCATAATATCACCCCAAGGCTATATATATCCGAGGATTTATCATATTTATGCTGAAGTGTAGGATTAAAACATTTCGGATCCACATAAGCAACATTTTCATCAGTAAGTTTTATCGTAGGCTCTGTTTCGCTATCATGGTCAAGTGACATGGATGAACTAAAACCAATTATCATCAATTTATCATCGTGATTCATTATGTTTTTTGAGTTCTATTATGTAAATAGATAAAATAAACAAGTTAATAAAAATGTTAGAATACTCTTGACAGTCAAACGGTAAATCTGATTTAGTCTTTTAAAAGCATAACGGTCTTATTGGATAACTAAATCCCATCTCAATCGAATTAAAAAACAATATGCTAACCAAATCACAATGTATAATATTCTCTGCATGAATATATTTCAAGCCATTGGCAATATCTTTGGCCATTTTTAATTTGTAATCCCAATCTTGTTTTAAGACCTCTTTCAAATGCTCTCGAAGGGGTTTATTATAATATTGAAGTACCATGGAATGAAATTCCTTTGAAGGATCTAAAATAACGAAACGTAAAGATTATATGGCTATAATAAATTACCCGGATAATTTAATAATACCCGGGTACGTAGAAATTTTCTTAACAGGTACAATTTCTAATAATACCTTTAGTAACGCCATAAAATTTGATTACGTTTTTACCGTTAACTTCTCTTATGTTTCTTATCTGTTTATTTGTAAATTTCAGTATGATACTTGAAACAACGCTATAGCATGACGACA